ATTCCAACAGTATGTATCTTCGTATCTGGTATCTGGTGATCTGTGGGCTGGCGTGTGTGGATTTCCTGGACAGCTGAGGCAACACCTCTCGAGAAACGACAATCGCCTTCGGGGGCTTGGCTCTATGGCTACATGGCTTTGACTTTGGCTTTGACTGTGGCTTTGGCTTTTTGGATTTGCACTGGACACTTGTGAGTTGTGACAGCAGCAAAATGGGTAAAAACGAGTGAGAAATTGCCAATTGCAGTTGGGTTTAGTGGAGCTCCAGGTGAAAGTCCGCTCACGCACGAGCTTGTGATAGATTCGCTGATTGCTCCCGGGACAGGTTTTCAGTCCGAATCCGAATCGGAATCCGAGTCCGAGATACAATTTAAACGGTTCCCACTCACGCATGACATCTCTGTAATTTCAGCGATTTTTTATGGCCCCTCGAGGAAAGTGTTTTACTGCAGTTGTGCACATGATCTTTTGGAATTTGTGCTAAGTGGTTAAATATAATGGTGGTGAAATGAAGACTTTATCTCCTCTCTCCAACTTAACAAATGAAATCTTTCTATAATTGACACTCAAGAAACAAAGTGTTTGATCCAATTCGGCTCGTATTTTCCCAGCTAACTCCGAAGATAGTTTCCTTAAACAAACTCCCCATGTCGGATCCAATTTAATCATCCGCTCGCTGCTCACACAAGCTCATCTCAGCTCATCTTCTCGGAGCAATTTACGGCCACCATTCTCCGCCTTCTGTCTCAGCCGGGGAAATTGAGTTTAAATTGCTCTCAGCTGATGTCGGAGCTCCTCGCACCCAACTAAACTAGAATTTCAATAAATGTCACATGTCCCGCGTATGCAAATTGTTGATTAAAGCGAGAGGAGCCAGAAACTGAACCCAAAGCCTGAACCTGAACCTGAACTCCGAAGCCGAGAAGGGTTCATTAGGCAGCCCCACATACGAGTATATATATGGGTATATATATATATGGGTTAATAAGGCCGGAGCAGCAGGATGTGAATGCTCCACCTCGACTGACTGACATCTTGTGCCTTGAATGTCATTAGCGTGGCGCGGTGTTAGTTGCCCCCAGAGGCAAGTGCGAATCCACCGGCGGATGGTGGATTCCATCCCCAAACACCACCAGCACCACCGTGTTGAAAGGAGGGGGTTCATGGCTGGCAGACACAACTGCCAACTGCCGCAGCGCAAACAAGATTAATTAAGGAATGTAAATTTCGCAAAATTACGCGCCATTGTTTGACTCTATCTGGCTCTGTCTCCTCCTGCCACATATATATCTCCATCTCTATCCTATTTAGCTGTGTGTGTGCGAAAGGGTGTTGAGATTTTTTCCATTAACAACATCATCAATGGGCCGCGGGTCGCAAGGTCGAAAGGTGTCCCAATGTCCTCCAACCACCCGCTGTTTTCCCCCAACAACAACAACAAGAAATCGCCCACTGTTTGTTTTTGTGCGACGGGTTGTTGTTGTTGTCGTTGTTGTTGTTGTTGTTGCTGTTTGGGAATTTAGCGGATTTCAGCTTACTGCGGCCGGGAGCTTAGCCAGCTTTTCAATTTCAGCAACGGCCGCAGCTCCAGATCCCGGTTTTGACCAGACTCCTGCTTTTGTCAGTCGCCGCATGAGCCATTTGAAGGGTTGGCCAACATTTTTAATTAGTGTCGTCAGCGGCAACGTTCTCGCTGATGGTTGTTTGTTGCTGCTGCTGATGGTACCTCGTTATTCGAGATTAAGGGGGTATATTGTTTGTAATGGGTAAGGATTAATTATAGCAACCCCACATTAAATTCCTTTGTTTATACTTAAGTAATAAAAGATATAAAAAGTGGCATTTGTTTGAATTATGGTTAAATACTACCAAATTTGCTTTCCACCTTTACTTAGAACCACCCATTATTAACTCTAGTTAATGTCACACAAGTACTGGGTATATCCCGATTTGGAAAACCCTAGTCCACCAGTTCATTTGTTATTTCTTCAGCTGGTTGTGGCTGCGGTTGCCTTGAACCCTTTGTGTATTGTGTCACTGGCATGCATAAATTATACTTTCTGCGGGAGCGGGGAATTTTCTAATGAATCCCAAAATTGGTTGCGGGAAATAACCAAGACGTGTGGCCCACACTCGCAGCACTGTGTCCGTGGAAAGGGAAATTCGGGAAATTGGGAAACTTTCCCAACCAGCCAACCCATGAACCTGCTACCTGCTGGGCGGCAAATGTGTGTGTTTTCGCATTTGCCGCCACGCAACGCAACGCATCTCGACCAATTTCTCGGCGGCCAATGGTTTGGACCATTGTTTACGCATTGCCGACGGACGTGTCGAAATGCGAGGCATGCGAGTCAGCTGCCAAAGTATCTGCATCTCTGCATCTGTGTACTTGGTATTCTGGCCGGTATCTATGATTGCAACTGGACTGCAGTCTGGCATATTTGGGTCAGGCCTTTAAATAAACTCCCTGGCCGAGCAGAGCGGAGCAGGAAGTGCGGGAAATGTCTGTTTGATGTTACAGCCACAAATCTGATGGCTGATGGCTTAATAGGGCCAAAAGATACAGTTCGGGCCGGGGAAGATGTTCTGGGGTTCCTGGAAATGCCAACAATATACCCGGGCATCCATCAATCCTGGACGCACTTCTGACAGCCGTGAAATCGTGTTAAACGTAATCTCAGCCTAACCAAAAATCATCCTCCTACCTCCTCCTCATTTCCACACGGCACACAGTTATCCGAGGCATGAATGATGGCACTCGAATTACATTAAATGGAATTTCGATTGAGCCAAAAGACTGGCATTCCCTCAGCAATCCAGCGCACAGCCAGCCATCCTCCAATACTCCAATCCCAGAATGACAATGACGATGACAAGACAATGGCGGGGCAGCAGCGACCGAATTCGAAATGGAAACAGTAAATGGCATTTACATGTTCCTGTCATAAGGCCCAAAGGGGAGCAGGGAACCAATTTAATGAATCAGCATCATCATCATTCTCATCATCATCATCATCATCCTCATCTTCATCAGCTTCATCAGCTGCAGCAGCAGTCAGCTATAGGGATAGGCCTCTCGAAATGCAGCATTGCAGATATCGGAGAAGTTGCAGCTGCAACGGGTGCAATCAGACAAATGCAATTAGGATTTGGCGACGCTTTCGTGTCGGGCATTCTAAGCATGCCACATCGTCATTCTTTTCGGGACTCCGGACTCTGGCCTCCGGATTCCGGAGCTCCCCAGTTTATTTCCCAAAGTGCAGACATGATGCCGTGATGAAAGGTCCGACGATTGTCACCGGGGAGTTGACATGAAAGGCGCCGAAAAGTCGATCCAGGAGGATGGAGAAAAGAGGTCAGGGTTCGGAATGGAAAGGTATGTTTCCCGAAGAAGGGGGACTTGCAGGAATATTCAATGAAATTAAATTTCATCAGCAAAACTGTCCCTTTCATTTTAAATTGTTAAATGGGAAAGTATGTTTGGTTTAAACAAAGCTTAAACTTTTATACTACAAAAATGCATATATGATTATTTAATTGTTCATATGAACCAATTAATGAGTTCATGAGACAATTAAAGCATCCTATTTTGAAATGTGGGTATTACCACTTACATGCCATTAAAGCTTGTTTCCGTTTCTTTGATCAATTTTAATGTAGCAACCCAAACATGGAACACAAAGGTATTTAATATGAAAATGGGAATTGGGTCAACAACTAATGACTCTGGTTGCTGTCCCGTTCCCAACTGAAACAATCGTATTCAATAAAACTTTTAAAGGCTTTTCATATTAAATAAGTTTCCGAGCGAAAAGCCGTTTGAGATGCCTAAAGACCCCGAGTGCTCCTCCGAATTTTCCCCAATTTTGCAGACTCTTGTTTGCACTCGAACAAGTTTGGAGCCTTCGCCGGACTGCTGATGATGTCCGCTCGGCTTGGCAGCTCTCAATTAAATATTTAACTTTAAGAAATGTAATTTCAATTAGCGCCACAGCATTTGGCCATTAGCGTGGCGAGTGCGCCGAGATTTGTGCCAATTGCGAAATGCGGAGTACAAAAACAAGAGCCGCGATGAATGAGCAAACAGCAAGGAGCAGGATGAGGATGAGGATGGGGAAAACTGTAGGAAAACCGTGGGTGGTGGTTGCTGGGTGGGCGGAGAGTATGAAAAGCGGGATGTGGCGTACAATTCGGACACCCACGCCGCTCACTCGCTCAAAATCATTACGTGATTAAGGTTGCCATTACGGCCGGGAAAGCAAAAATAGAAAACTAGAGCATGGCACGCAGACAGCTGCAGAGGGGTTTTCCGCGGGGAGGGGGAGGCGAAAGGGGATGGGAAGGGGGAGGGGTAGGTCGGAAAATGGGAACCGGGAAAAGGGGGGCAGTCGCTCTGCGACCGCAATTGCGCTCGCTTGGTTTGGCGGAAAATAAAATGAGAAACCGAAGAAGCAACAGCAGAACAACCAGCGAAATAACATGAAATAGAAATAAATAAATCAGCAACACGGCAGCAAAAACCCAAAGGGTCTCGTCTTCGCCGCACAAAAACAATTAAAATGAAAAACCGTAAGCACTCTAATTCCGGGCGAAAAGCGGGCGGAGTCCTTTCCCGGATTCCTCCGACATCGAACTCGAATTCCCTCCGTCGCACGAGCGAGCAAAATGGTTCGAAAACAAATTTGCCGATCTAATTAAAAGCTAAATTGTGACCATTAAACTGGGTGCACAGCGTCACTGTTCCCTTTACACACAAAAAAAAGTTAAATTTGAATAAAAATGAATTATTGGAGAAATCAGTTGTAAAAGCCTTCTGGCTTTTAAATTTAATCAAAATTTAATCTTTCTTAAAAATATCATTCAGTAAATAAACTTGTAAGGTGATATTATAATTTAATTAGCATTTTTAATATATATTTGATAATGTATTGGGTAAGTGCAAAGCCATATTACGAGTATATAAAAAAATCTTTAATACTTTAACACCTTATAAGGTAGTTATTACATAAAATAGAAATGTTATTCGCAGTGGACTATCTGTGACCTTAAGTGGGTACCACTGCATGGAAAAACATTGAAAAGCATTTAAGTTCGCTCCGCCTTTCAACAAGTTGGAAGCAATGCAATTTACGGATGCAGGAGGCGGTGAACCGGTGGAAGGGAGAGGACGAAGGGGTACAGGGATGCAAGGACATGGCCATTAGTGGGCCACGAGAGGAATAGAAAAAGTATGCCAAGCTGACCACACAGCGCAGGATAACAGAGACGAGAATGAGAACGAGAACGAGGACGAGGAGCTGGAAAAGTGGAGTCTCTGAATGCGGACACGGACGTCTGGCAAATTGTAAATTAATTGATGAAGGCAACGTTTAGAAGGGACAGGGACAAACTCTCGGACTCCGGAATCCAGTGGCGGTTAACTAAAATATTTTGAGGGGTTTCGATAGAATTAAGGTCAGAGGCTATGTGAGATTTCAATGTCTATAAATTAGTTCTGACATTGTAGACCCCACTTGCTCTCAGGCAACAAAGTAATTTATTTATTGGTTTAGTGAGTTATGCTCCTAACTCTTTACTTGGTTTACTTCTTATAGGGTGACCCCCATTGGCCCCTTTGTGTTCAGCCCTGGAATCGAGAAATTGGAACTGCAACTGGCATCTCGAGTCGAAAGAGGGGGCAAAAAGGAGCTCTGACAAATTGCTGGTAGCAAGATTAATGCCTGCATTATCTTTCCTCATTTGTCGATTGTCAATGCAACTGGGCCGCGTCCGCAGCAGAATAACAACAACACTAACAACAACAACAAGAAGAAGAACAACAACAACATCATTGGCAACAACTGCAAGGATAAACAAGAGGACGCCCCTGGGGCGTGGCAGTTTACCTTTACCTTTGCGTTCTACCTGTCCTGTGCCGCATTGTTCTCTGATTTCCCATTTTCCTCATCTCTATCGCTGACATTTTTCAATTTGATGATGCTCTCGTCCTTATTTCCCGAGTGCTTTTCTTATTTTCCCTTTTTTTTTAATGGCATCTGGCGTTGGACAAGGTAATTTCATTTTTATATTAATGACAGTATGTTTGATGCATGTCCCTTCATGTTCGTCGCGCTCGCTTAATCACTTAAGACTCTTAAATGCGCAAAAAAACATTGTGCCATATGGGTACTCTTAATGGCGAATTGTTCGATGAAATATATATGTACATTTCCCGGTTTTGTTCAATTTAATGCCTGCGGGAGTGCTGCAATTCGCCAACACGAAACTCGAAATTTCCTCTAATTAGTCAAGTCATCGATAATTCATCGGTGGGGGAAACTGGCATCGCGTGCCAATCGAAAAGCTAATTTCGTGTGTGACAATTGCAGTTGGGTAAGCTCAATTGAAAATGCAATTGCCAAAAACTAGTTGAATAATGAACAAAAGCGCTTATTGGTTTCCTTTTCAATTAGCCACATCAATTTTAAACAATTAAAATCTTTTTTTTATTCAAGCAATAGTACATCACTGATTAGTGTCATCTCTAAAAGTAAGTTTACGCATTTGTTTTCTGTGAAAAGTGTGAAATATGTTCAAGTGTCAAAGGGCATGTGAGAATTCTCAGTGAAAGTGAAAGTTTTCAATAAATAATTAAGTGTTTATGGACAGCAAAGCCTTTGAATTATCAAAGGCCTGCAATTAACTGATTTGCATCAATCAATAATTGTGTTTATTCAATAACAGGTAATTTGAGAATTAACAATTAATTCCATCGCCTTGCTAAACGAATTCCTCGATTTTCCCTTCAGGTAGGGAAAATATCCTGCAGCATATCATCAAAATCAAAGGCGGTGAGTGTGGAATTTCCATATTTTCCGTTTGCCCTTAGACTTTACACCTTTAACAACCTGTCCATTTGGAGCTTCCCATTTCTGCCAAATTGTGAATGCCACCAATTAACAGAGGCCTGCTTCCAAAAAAAAAAAGAAACGAAAATAGAAAAAGGCGAGACAATATGTTCAGCTGAGCTCAAACAACTGCAGGCTAAAATCTAAATCCTTGCCGGCAAATAGAAAAAGTAGAAAGGATGAGGTTCGAGGACGAAGGAGGAGGATTCCGAAGTCGGGGGTCCAACATTCCGGATGATGTGCCTGTTGGACGTCGAAAAACTAGCGAACTTTGCAGACAGAACAATGCCCTTCGGATTTCGAGCAGAGTGGAATTTTAGGTCTAAATCCGGCCGGGTCATAAAAAGTGCTTATTACATTATCACCTCAAGCGTGGCTGAGCCGGCTGTGGGCAGTGCCACGCCCACCCACACACACACTGACTCGTCCACAAAACGCAATTCACTCTCCCTCTCAGTCCCTTTGTGCGGATTTCCAAGACCTTTCAAAGGGTATTAGCATTTTTACATCTCTTTGAACTAGAAATTGCCAGCAGAAAATTCAATGTATTAGAATAGAAAATCTGATCTTTATCATGGATTTAGGATCATACTGTGTTCAGAAAATAATTTTTTTTTTTTTTTGAAAGTTGATTATTAATGCGTTTATGGTTTTAAAGCACTCATCGCAAAGCTTTCCTATAAACAAATTCTTTAGATGACTTTCCATTTAAGAGCCTCATATAGAATACTGCGTAAATTAACCCCAATCTGTAAGGGTATTGTGACGCTCAGTTGCCGGAGATTGCTCCCTTCCCCCTTTATTTTTTTCTGGCTGTTTGGGGGCTCTATTATGGCCCTGGCAGCTGCGTTTTTCAATTTTCGCTTTTTTAGGCCTGCGGACTCTCACCTGAGCTCTGTGAGCCCTGAGCCTTGAGCCGATTTGTTTCGGTTCGGTTCGGTTTGGCTCAGTTCGGTTTGGTTCGGTTCGCAGTCACTTATTGGCAAATGTTTCGTAGCTGCGAAAAGAGGAAAAATCGGGTCGAGAAAAGCGGGTGGTATGGCATGGGCTGGTTCTGGTGCAAAAATGCGAAAAATGTGTAAATTTGCGCCCGCTTTTATTTCTCGCATTTGGCCCGAATGATGTGTAGCGGCTGATCCGCTTTGGCAGCGCTCCCAGGTTCGAGTTCATTCAATTTGGATTAAGTCGTTCGTGTTGATTAACAAAATTGACTTTTTTGCCGACTTATTCCTCCTTCTTGGCTGCGAAGTTCAAAGCAATCGATTTCGATTTGGGATCGATGGAGCCGGCGCAGCTGTAAACCATTTAGTCGACACTGCCGGAGACGTTTAGTAAATATTCAATCAATTTGGATGGTTAATAAATCACCAGAAAATAGACGAAAACCGACTCCCCGGCAGATATGCGTCATAACAATAAAAAAAAACGAAATTTCCCATTTGCCGCATCTTCCTGCCCCCCGAAAAGTGCGGCAAATAAACAAGACAAGGCGACAGGCCATAATATATCATGGCCCCAAGGCGCTCGGCGACACACGAAGATGGAGAACCAACTTCGAAGGACACTGATGCGTAATGGCTGCCAGGGGGATGACATCGATCCGGAGCTCCATCTTCCTAACTGCAAATCAATGACATATCGTTACGCCAAATGCGAATGCCCAACGGGAGCCGCCATAAGGAACGCATAAGGAACGGACAAAAGCGGATCCGAATTAAATAATAACCCGGGTAATAGCATATGTTGGGGAGCCATTACCTGCCGCTAATTGCCAGACAAACTTCGCTTGTCGCCACCTAAGCTGGTCGCCAATTAAAGCCAAGCAAATGGCGGCCAGAGCGCTAAAAGCCCTGAGATTCCGCGTTCCGGATTTCGTATTCCGGATCCCAGAATTCCACGGCTCCCAGGAGCCAGCCGACCACAATCTAAGTGCGGCTCATAATTTATTTCGATTACGCCGCAGCACGCAATTTGCGCCGGGCACATCCTTTTGCGAGCACACGGACACGCACAGGAAGTGAGATATCCAGGAGAAGCCACGAAGAGTAGGGATCAGGGGAAAGTGGGGAACCGGGACCAGAGATAAGTGTGCGCAGAGCGCAATTTCCGTTTCCGCCTGGCTTGCCCTTATCCAGCGCTGATGCTGCGAAAATCCACTAAGCAACAATTAAATCTCAGACTCCAGAGAGCAACTCGGTGAGATAAAGGCGGAGAATGCAGTGGGAACTCTGGAGTGCCCACTTACAGTCCAACTCCTCTAAAATGAACTGAACGAGCGTAACAAACAACATACTTAACTTCATGTCAATAAGTCTTTGTAGCTTAAACCAAATTAATAATATGGTAGTTAAAATTACTCGAGTTCTTGAGTCCACAAATCAATCCTAAATCAATTTAATTAAGAAAGGTATGTTTATGTTTTGATAGCATCTACTTAAATCTGAATTTGAGTTACAAGAGTTTAACTGTTCTCATGACTCACAGAAATCAATCGGAGGACTGAAGACGGCAACAAAGACAAAGGCTACCTGAAGTGAATCACTTCTGGGCAGGTAACAAAAGGCCGCCATGCATTACCATTAGCTGACTAATCGGAGCCCCAAGAAGTGGATGGGGGGCAGCACTCCAGCCAGAGAAGAATCTATTCCGCTTAAAGCGTTCGCTCTTTACGCTTAGAAGTTATAAATATTTATGGCGCACATAATGCAGCGTGCTGAGCCCGGCCAATAATTTCTCCGCTTACAGCTCTGCGATATCTGGGATATCTGGGATCCCTGGCCAAATGTTATGGGGATATATATATGTGTGTGTGTGTGTGTGCTCCAGATGCAGCGAGGCGAGCATTTTCCACTGAAGGATTTATGCTCGCTGACATGCAACTTAAAAGCAAGGACAACAGATAGCAGAAGGAGCACGAAGATGAAGGCAGCGGCAAACTTTCCTTATGCGGGATACTTTTCTTCTGCAGTCGGAACAACAATTGGGCAAAGCGATGCTGAGCGCAGGGATTAGGCCACAAGGAGAATGGGGAATCTGCAGCAGCAGCAAGGAGCTGAAATTTATGTGACTTTTGCATGTGGAGGCTGCTGAAGCAGCAGCAGAAGCAGCAGCAGCAGAAGCAGTGGCATCAGCAGGATGTGGCTCGCACTGGCTAGACATTAGTACAATTTCCGGACCAGGCCACAAAATATTCAATAATATATTAAAGATATAGCCACCAACCCGAAAGAGATATCGCACAAAGGCGCACCAGCAGGCACGAATTCGACAACTCAACTGAAGCGTAGCAGGCAGGATAAATCTAAATAAGACGTGCTTCGACTCTGGTCTCTGGCTTCGAGTCCTCTCCTTCTCTGCGGCATGGAACTTGCTGCAGCAGCCAGAGAATTTGTGCAATGAAGTGCAAGTGAACTTAAAGCGACTAAAGATAGTCCCGACTACCTGACCACACCAGAGATGAGCACGTGAGTTTAGTGAATGTGTGGATTCCAAGCACGAACACGAAAAGTCGCTAATATAAATCAAAAAATATTCTATAATCTTATTAATGGTTATTTGTAGTCATTTGAGAATGGGATTAATATTCAACAATCTGAATATACATTCAAAACTCCAGGATATGAAATAAATTATCTTCTGCGATGCTATAATTCCCAATGGCTTCTGGCCACGCAATGCTGAAACCGCACTTGATTTCCGACCATTAAGACAGGCTACAAGCAAGTGGCTCATCGAAATTGCAAATTACAATAAAGGAAGACAAGTTAATTCAGTTGGCTTAACTCACGAACTCACACCCACTGGAAGTTGAAACAAAACGGAAGCGCCACTCGGTTCCCCGGAGCGGAAGTGGATACGTTAACCGGAGGAGCAGCCCGGCTGGCTTCTGGGTATGAGGGCCGTTCAATAAATTTCAGCACTCTTAAATTGGTAGTGCAATGCGGTGCAGTGGCATGCACCGATGTCCATGGGCCAGTGGCCACTGGCCACTGGACTGGCCAGTGCGGAGTCAGTAGTCATGGGTCTGTTAAAGCGGGCCGGTGAAATTGATAATCAATCAAATGCGCCGCTGACGCAGCCAGGCACTTAATCACTGTCTGGTTATCCTTTTTGTTTCGCTGGCTTAACTTTTATCAATTACGCCTTTTTGCGACTGACAGAGATGAATCACGGGAAATCAGCATTGCGTCGAGACGTTGTTTACTCCACTGGCTCGCTCTTTATTAATTCAATTAACGTTGCAATGGCAATCGGTGTGGAATTAGCCGGTGCATTGAGTCAAAAGCCCCTGGATCAGGTGAGGCTAATACGGCCCATTATCAGGCACCCTTCTGCGGTTCTCGAGTGCGACAAACCGCAAGGCAAATTTCAACAACTCTGTAAGTTTCCTGCAAAGTGCACAAATGCAATTTTCATGTCTCTATTCGGAATGAGCAACAACAGTTGCTCTTGGCCATTGTGCAATTAATAAAATGTCCGAGTGAATTGAGAGCAACCGCAACCGGAGATGTCCTTCTCCAATCTCCAATCTCCGATCCCCCCTTCCGCCTTCTTCTGTTGACATGTGGTCGAGAAAAGTGCAAGTTCAATCAGCAGCTACAAACTGCCATCGAGAGTCAACAATCGAGAGTGGAGACCACAGCAGGGTGTCTCCTCTGCCAGATTCAATTACACAAAAGCCCAAAATCAAAGCAAACCGAATTTGCTTCTATAATTCGGCTCGCATAAATCAGAAACAGACATAGAGCCAGGAATTGTGGAGCAAGAACAGCGAGGCGATACCCTGGAGTAAAGGAGCCACCGAAAATGGTTCCGCAAATTGAAAGATGCACTAATATACCTCGAAATGGGGGAGCAGGACGAGGTCCAAATTATGGAATTTTCAGAGTTTGGGGCAAAGACAAAGACAAACACGGCCACCAGCACAAAGGCTGCCCCCAGACAGGAGTCAAATAATTAATGGCCAGCCGGGGAAGGCAAACAAACAAGCTTAAAACGAGCAAAAACTCAGCCGAAACTGAACCAAAACGAAGTGAAACCAGAAAAAATCTGGAGAGGCAGAAACACTCGAAAGCGAGGTTTTCAATGCGCTTTCTTGTTACAGCGAGTGTTGTTGTGGTGGCATTAAATGGAAAAAGTATTTAATTAAGTAGAAAATTTAAACGTTTATTATTTCCAACGAAAAATAAATATATATTCTTAAAAGTATTTATTATACTTTCATATATTAACCGAATAGAACCCACGTTTGGTTAAAGTAATCATACCTTTTGCTAGGGTATCGAAAAAAACGCCAAACGGATTTGCATGAGCAGAACGCGAAGTTCGGCGGTAAAAAGGATGTTGGATGCTGGATGCTGAAGGATCATGTGTGCGGGACTGGCGACCACGTCGGTTGCCTTGGATGCCGTCAGTAGCTTGTTATGCACTGTCCTCTCCACTGTTCCGGCGATGCCACGCCCCCCTCCCGAGTTTGTCTAGACTTTAAGTTGGCTAATAGCCGACACTGATGCTTCCATTTTTTTCTTTATCTGTTTATACCCTTGCAAAGGGTATTATAACTTCAGTCAGGAGTTTGCAACGCATTTAAAGAGACACCTCAGACCTCATAAAGAGTAGTATACTCGAATGTTCTTGATCAGCAATACGAATTGACCCTAATTCTCAGATTCTAAGTCCATAACTTTTCTCATTTTAAATTTTATATTTTTTTTGAATTTTTATGATACAACCCCTTTTGAAATTTCAAAAAAATCGTGAATATTTCGATGTTGTCTAGTTTTTTGCATTTTGTTTGACATTTGTGATGATTGCAAGGGTAAAAAGGCTTCGGCTCGTTGAATCTAGCTTCAATTCTATTTTTTTTATTTTTTGGTTGGTTGGTGCGATACGGTATGTGGACCGAGCTCTTTGGCCAGAAAGCCAGAAATTTGTAGTAAACCAAATTTGTGCTCTTGTATTACTTATTTGGTCCATTATTTGTGCTCTGCTTGGCTTTCGCTTTTATTTGACTTTGGCCTTTTGTGCGACGCTTTTTGTGGCCCAAACCGAACCCTGCACTTGATAATGAAATATATAAGCGTGGCTTCCCGGCGAGTGGGTGAAAATCCGTGGGCATAAGGCTTATAACACACACAGGACGAAGGACAGAGGACACGGGACAACAAGAACAACAACAACGAAAGGGAAGCAACAGGAAAAGGACTTCATACTGACGGGGTTCGGAAAACTGAACTGAACACAGAAAACTCCCAGCGAGAAATCATAAATTAATCCGATTTAAGCAGCTCAGTAGCTTATTTTTATGCCAACCAACTCGGAACCACCGGTTTTTGTTGTTCGACTCGAGGAAAGTGGCAGGGGGATTTATTCCTGGCCATGTCATGTGTTGCATCTTGATGAGTTGCGGCAGCATTTAAAGGAGACCAATTTGTTTGGCAGTGGCTCAAGAGCCAGGAAGCTGACATGATTGGATGCTGACGATGACTGAGATGATGGTTCGTTGTCAAGGTAGGAGAGCTCTCCAGAGTGCCGGTGCTCCCTTTGCCGGAGTTCATTCGAGTTCGTCGGGGTTTAGTTCCGCCGCGGAGCTTGTGTCCTGGCAACCAAGGAGCTCAACGGAGGTACAGGGAGAAAATCCCGTCGAGAGGTTTTCATTAAGCGGGAAGTTTTTAATATAATCATAAACCTTTCTGTGGTTTTATGACATAATATGAATTACGTATATTCAATATAAAACCTTTTACCTTAGTAAAGTATATATAAGGGAGAAAGTAATATTCAAAACAGATTACTAGAGTAATATCTAAAAAGGTTTCAAAAGATTTCATATTGTTATGAAATTTTATTAAAAACTGATTCACGTTTAAATAGAAATTAATTTTAATTGTCTCACTCCTTTCAACTTTGATAGTTTTCTGAGATTTTCTTTAGCAGGTGGAAAGATAGTTTGCAGCTCAACGTGTTTTCTCCCCGTGTAGCTCATTACGAGCAAAGTTTTTACGCAGAATCCTGCGGAGGAGGATGCGGCTTAAGTGCGCCATTCCAAATTCAATTGGGCTTGAAGTGTTCGAAGAGCAAAAGACAGTCAGTCAAGTCAGCCAGGAGATGTCGCAGCGCCGGCAGGCAGCTCAACTCATCGCCGGTTGGCCAGGTTGGATTTATGGCTGAAAAGAGCGCCGAGTGGCTGGCAAAACGATTCGGATTTGTCTGGTTTTGTTTTTCGTTGTGTAATCCATAAATATTTCCATTTCAAATTGCGCAAATTGCGTTATGCATGCTGTGTGATTTTCGCATAAATTCCAAACAAATGCGCACAGTCTACTTTTTCGCCTCTATTAAATTCCAGTCCTGTTGCACTTTTCGCCAACAACAACAATGTTAACAGTGGCTGCAGTGACAAGGACATCGGTGCTAATTGGCAGGAGCAGGAGTGCTTCAGTTTATCCCATTTAAATTAATCGAAACAGCTCAATTCCATGATAATCCCCACTTGCCGCATTGTGTTTTATTTGTTTTTTGTTTTAAATAGCTCAGTGCAGCTCGAAAAAGAGAGAAGCCGCATAGCATTGACACAAATCCACAGCTGTTTAAATAGAAATTGCGCATTTAGCGCTGGCCACGCCCACTCCGCCGCCCACTCGAAGCCAAAAGCAAACAGATAAAAAGAGCGCACCAGAATTCGTGTTATTTTTGAACGAACAACAATATTTTCAATTTGTTTGGGGGCAAGAACAAAGAACGGTGGAAATCGGGGGTTGGGTAATTATCAAGCTGCAAATCAATAATTCGATTATATTTGAACTGGTTTTTTGGCTCCCCCAATAATAACGCAATTCTCTTTATGACGAGAGCAATAAGAATTCAACTGACTTTCGCTACTGATTAGACTCGCACACAAAGAAGCGTTCTGTTCTTATCGGAGTTAGTTTGAGTCATAAACAAAATCGCTATATAGTATGTTCCGTCAGTTGCCCTTGATCTGACTGCCATATGGATATATGATTCACGATTCGTTTCGCTCTGAACTCTCAGGAATTTCATTTTCCCATGTGTAACTAAAATATTAGCTCATGTTTTACTTTATCGCTGGTAAGGCTGTTTTTGTTTGCGATACTATCAGCCATTAGATTAGATAGAAATTAGCACAGTTGAACCAAGAACCCTTACACCAATTTCAGTCACAAACTTTCAGCTGAGCGGAAGCTACATCCATTAATTCCCCATTAATTAGTTACAGCCTTACAGTTTCGAATCGGACTGCACATCAATAAACTAAAACTAGGCGTATACATTTATTCCTTCGACATTTTCGCGCCGCAGCGCTCATAAAGTTGTCAAAATGATTTAGCAAATTTCTCTATTGCGTGTCGCCGCAAATGTAAAATGTTTCGAGATCTGTTATGAAGGTTTAACAAATTTTTAGTTGGTTTCCTGTCTGTGTGACGACTGTTTGTTTGTGTGGGTTTATCTATCTGACTGTCTGTGTGTGTGTGTCTGTTCACATTAATATGGCAAGAGGAAATTTGTTGAAAATTGGGAAAAATACGGCTTTTATTTGTTTTGGGTAACGTGCGCAAAAATCGCACAAAAAAGCGACCACAAAAAGTGAAACTTATATCCACGGATTTATTTTTAACAAACAAACAAAAAAAAAGAACAGCCAGCGAGCACTTAAATACATAAATAAATTAACTGCCCAACTAATATTCGTTTTTTTGCGTTTGTTGCCAGCGTAAATTTAATTTCGTTTTTCGGCGAGTGTTTCCGAACACACAAATTCCATTTGTCAATCGCGAGATAAGCGAATTGTTTCTGATTTTCACACATGTTTGTTCTGGCCTTTTGGGAAATGGGAAATGGGGTAGTACGGGTATTTTACTTACCTTTTGCACCAGAAGGGGCTGGGCGAAGTCCGTGCCCCCCTGAAGGCGGAATCCCCAGGGTTGGGCGTCGAAACGTGACAGTTTCACTTGCAGCAACTGTGGTTGGGCCATCTTCTTTTAGTGCTGACTGTAGGGGCTGCTGGAAAAAAAAAACAGATAGAACGAGGGCATACGTAAGTAATAATGACGATAACACGGCGTATACTTGATATCACGTAGGCGACTAATTAATGAAATCAAAACACAGAAAAGCTCGACACACACGAAACCGAAAAACCCAAGCAGACGGACAACTGCGAATTGCTCCTTTTTGGCCACTAATAAAGACATTATTCAGGCATGTCCAGGCTAATCCTGCCAGCAGTCCGACGGCTCCTGCCATCATATGTCTCTCCCCTTTCCCCTCTTCCCCTTTCCTAACTTGTCACCCTGCTCCTAAAAAGGGAGTTCCGGCCCACTTTTCCAGCCGCCCACAACCGGTTGCCAGATGCAGCTGCATGCGGAAAAGCTGCTGCGTCGTTTTGTGTGCCAAACTGAGCCAACATATTCGGCTGACTGAATGCAGCAGGCAGCCAGGAAAGTGGTTAGGAGGCAGAACAGGCTAGACAGATATCCTTGTTCCTTGAAAGTGCAAGAAGAGCGATTGAAAACGGTGTAAAACATGCAAACATCACATTTCCTTTTACACTTTCTGTTGATTTAAGTAAACATTTGAGGACAAATTCCAAAACATAAAAGGTATTTAAAGCATTTTCTCAAATCCTAGACAAACTGTGGGAAACCGAAGCTCATGAAGCTTAAAACTTTCCCCTTTTGCTGTACGTTTAATTTGATGTTTCCAAAACTTAAATCATTAAGATCTGTTTATAAATATCAAACTAAAATTATTAGGATCCCATCATAACCCTTTTTGCTTTTCCTCTACAGGGTGTTGGACATAAAACGAGTTAAACTTTGTTAGATATCGCCTTTTTTGCACACACAGAAACTCACACCCCGGAAAGGGGCGTCCTGGAATAGGACAGGATTGCGAAGGACCCGCTGCACCCCTTCGTCCTCCGAACAGTGAGTGCTGTAAGTAAGCGCACCCCAAACGGCACATGGAGCCGTGTTGTAAGTGTGGCTTACACGGGTTCCCGTCTTGCGTTCTTCTGCCCCGCAAATCCCCCTCCCCCTTTGGTCCTTACTATATTCCCATGTCCTGCCGCACTTTTTTCCCGTCATAGTTTTGTAATTTGTACGTGCGTTGAAGGGGGTGGGCTGAGGGGTTCATGGTTGGATTGGGAAAAGGGGTCAGCGGTGGGAGGGAGGGAAATGGAAAAGTGGGCGTGGAACATGGGTGACTGTTGATTTAGTTTGCTGCATAACAATTTTGCTGAGTGTTGTGTTTTTTATTAGCAAGGACACATTTGCCCCGTGCTCTCCATCTCTCTCCCTTTCTCTTTCGCACCGCATCTGCCCTCTCGCTCGCACAGAAGACACTCAAAGTGGAAGTAACTACATTAAGCTATTAAAACGACAGCAGCTGCCGTCGGAGAATATGGAGAACTTCGGGGGGACGAAGGATATATCCGCACACACACACCCAAACACACACATACACACATATGGAAAAGAGACATTTTAGCACACACAGCAGTTTAATTAACGTTAAGTGCGGGTGGTAATGGCTCCATCTCGAGTCCAGGTTCCTGGTTCCAGGTTGCAGGTTTTCCGGCCCCCGAATTGCCGCCAAGAACCACGGGGGCCGAGAGCACAGGCCGTAACACGTTGACGGCATTTGCATGTAAATACTTTGTACGCCATGAAGTTGGCCCATTAGACGCCCCGGCAAAACCAACTGCACATGCACGGGAATAATTTAATTAAAATATTAAATAAATGCCGGAGTGGATCGGTGTGGAGGCGGCGACGGCGACGGCGGACGACTCTTCCACGGATTCAAAGTGCCAGACTGAAAAAGGCTAAGAGCGCCACAACACGAAAGTGCAAACAGGAACGATTTCGAAGGGAAGAGAAATGGAGAAAGGGGAAAGGGAATCAGAAGGGGAATATAGAAGTTCTGGGGGCTAAAGGAGCCATTCGGAGTTCTGGCTAATTACTGGCTCAAATGCTCTTGCCACAAGGATGCTCTGTGGCTGACAAAATGTCATCGACGATTAGCACACTGTGAGATACAAATGCGCACTTGACCATCTAATTAGGATTAAATTGCAGAAAATATTATTCAGATTTAGAACACTATTTAACGAATTCAATAAATGTCTAAATCTTGTGAATCTAATACTCATTTTGAAAGATTGAATTCCCCAAAAGTCACATTTCAATTTCTACTTTCATGACTTCACTTATCTGTTTGACAAACTTCCCTGTCAGTATCCCGAAACCCTTTTCTTCTTCAGCGACGACAAGAGGAGCATCTAATAAATGGTGAAATTTGTTTGCCCCAGGATTAGGCTGCTCCTTGTCGTGCTGCGAAACCCTTTCCGCATTCCGTTTGACCCACTTCTCAGACTTTAAGTCGGCCTTGGGCAAACTGCGGCGCAAACTTTCCATATGCAAGCAATTTGTAAACAAATTATTTGATCCTCAAACAGGCAAGTTGCTCCAGCAACTTATCAACTTGACGCCGCACAAACAACAACGAGCGGAGTGGCAGCAAATCCAAACTTGGTCAACCATGTATCATTAACAAAGTTGTCCAGTTGGCAATCCCATTGCAGCTTTATGACTAATAACCAAATCCACGGGAAGGGGAGGGGAGTGGAGGGGATTGGGAATTGGGGCGAAAAAGCTGGGGGGACACGTAGCGGCGTAGTCGGTTTCCGGGTACAGTGAAACATCGATTTCGCCGGCAGCTTACAAATCCGTTACACGGACCAATGTCAAAAAACGAGTTATCGCTAATAACTTTTACACACACAATTGGCAAATTGCGATTTATTTATGTGTCGCCTCTTGCCCCTCCTGCGGCCAACAGATCCCCTTTAAAATCCCCCCTTAACCCTCTTTAAACCCCCCTTAACCCCCTTTGAGCCCCCCTTTTGAAATGCAGTTTGCATTTGATTTCGGGGTGAGAGCAACAAATCAATTTGCATGCGGTAATTCCAAAGATTTATTGCCAACATTTTTCGGAGCGAGCAGAGGGCGTGCGGATTGGTATTTTCGGTATGCAAAAGCTGTAAAATATCCGAAAATTTTTATAAAAGTTCTTGTGCGGCTAAAATGGGCGGACTGAGAGCCGATTTCCTGTCACCGAAAGAGCTCATGAGTTGCCATTACCAGCGGAGCAATTGAGCAGGAATCGAATTGATTTCGGCGCACACAGCATCATTAGCAGTTGGCCCCCGCCATAAAAGCCAGAATAATAACAGAGAGAGAGTGGAAACTAGACAAAAGGAAAAAAATATCAGGGGAAAAAAACGTCGAAACCGAAACCAATCTGGAACCATCAGCAGTCAAAGTCGATGGCGATGATGATGATGGTGCTGCCTGCCACTGATGATGTCATGGTGGGTACAGCATAGACGGGGTAAAAGGGGGTGAAAGGGGGGAGACAGTGGTTTTGGGGTCGACAATTCGATTTGGCCATTTCGCACGCTACTTTAGAGTACACTGAGCAAAAGATGATTTTTAAGATCGAGAACGAAGATTGAAAGATAATGATAGTTCATCTTCATAACCAAGTTTTCTAAGCTTTTAAAAAGAGTAAGCTACTAGAATTCATAGTTTTTTTTAGGATTCGTTATGAGATAAACTTACTAAATCATAGAAAAACTTTTATAGCTCCAGAAATAATGAACAAAAATTGAATGTAGTTTAGAGAAGGTTTTGTTATATCAATTCACTAAACTTTGGTTTAGTTCTAATTAAAATAGTAGCGATTTCCCCTTGTGTACTTTCCAATCGAAATTGGAATCGCTTTCGAAACATGGAGTCTGGCACGCGGTGTTTATTCTGGAATATCTGTTTATCAAACGGAACAGCTTCAATCTGTAATGAGCCAACTAATTACGTGCTGCAGTCTCTAAACAAATCGGGTATTAGACAAACACTGTGCATTTGGTTGTTCGGCTGGCCATTTCAACACATTAATAAACTGCATAAGGGAACAGCTCATTAAAAGCCACTCGAGCAGAGCAGCAACAGCTTTTCCATTTCCCATTTACCATTTGACTGCCGGCTGTCAAGTGGTCGAGAGGCCCAAGAAAACTACTTCAAAGATCTTGTTGCTTTGCTTCTTTTGCTTCTGCTGCTGCTGTTGATGTTGATGTGGTGGCTCTTTGGGCCAAACAAAAGTGAAGCCGGAGCGACATATTCACCCACTAACTGGCAGAAGTTGCCTGAAATTAGGAGTGGAAAAACGCAGTCAGCAGACTTGGCTGTCGGGGAATAACAAGCCATGCAAATGCCATGCCGCACATCCCAAGCATAGCATATATACATATATATATATATATATGTATATATATTTCCATATGTGTGGCAAAGTGCTATGCAGTTCCGCCGGGGAATCGAAACGGAGGGCAGCGCCAAGTAGTGAACGCGTTGATTTCGCATTTATGCAAATTTCACGTACACTTCAAACTGCTCAACGTTTTTTCGTCTTTATTTTTCTTTTCTTTTTTTTTTTTCTTTTTTTTTTTTGTAGCTCCCCCGCTCGCTGGCTCTTCAAGCTCTTCTTTTCTTTTTGTATTTTTTCGACTCTTTTTCGCAGACGCGCTTTTGTTGGCCTGGCCAAAACTAAACTTTGGCTGCTGCTGAGTGAAACTGAAGTTGCCGGTGGGGAAATGGTGGGGGCATTTCAAGGGGTGAGAGTGGGACAGAAGAGGGGATTGAGGATTGAGGGTCGTAGAAATTCTGCCTGGGGGCGAGTGATTTTTGAATACCGTTCAGACAGCGCTAAGCTGGGGCATATGGAATTAAGGCGGTGATTGAGGTAACATCAAGTCTATTGTTTTGATAAAGGTGGCTTAAAAACTATAAGAAACTTAAAATATATGCAAATAACTGCTGTCAATAAATGTATGATATGTATTTGATTATCAAGTGTGTTGTTTTAAGAAAGATAGTTCTGAAACGATTCAAAATCTTAGGAAACTTCACTGAACTGTAGTGCCGTTTTTCCTTGCAACTTAT